TCGTCCAGGTCATTGATGAATATATTCAATACTACTGGTCCCAATACCCACCCCTGCAGGACCCCACTAGACACAGGCTCCAACTAGACTCTGTCCCATTGACCACAACTCTCTGATTTCTTTCCTTCAACCAATTCACAATCCACCTCACTACCCGATCACCCAGACCACACTTCCTCAGTTTAGCTGTGAGGATGCTGTGGGAGACGGTGTCAAATGCTTTACTGAAATCAAGACAAACCACATTCACTGCACTACCATCATCTGTCCACCCTGGTTACATCTTCATAAAAGACTATCAGGTTGGTGAAACACGACTTCTCCTTGGTAATACCGTGTTGACTGTTCCTCATGACCCTCTTATCCTTGATATGCCTAGAGACAGCACCGAGGATAAGTTGTTCAATCACCTTTCCAGAGATGGAAGTGAGGCTGACCGGTTTGCAGTCACCTGGGTCCTCCTTGCCCTTTTTGAAGACTGGAGTGACATTTGCTTTCCTCCAGTCCTCAAGCACCTCACCTGTTCACTACAACTTACCCAAGATGATGGAGACTGGCCTAGCAATGACTTCCACCAGCTCCCTCAGTACCCATGGGTCCATCCCATCAGGGCCCATGGATTTATATATGTCCAGATTGCTTAATTGAGCCCTAACCCAGTCCTCATCAAAGTCGTCCTTTATCCTGACTTCCTCTAGAGCCTCAGGCGTCTCCACCTTCTTTGTATCCTCTGTCACCAGGGCACCTGCCTCATTCAACATTGGGCCTACACTGCCTCTGGTGTTACTTTTGTCTGCAATGTATTTGAAGAAGCCCATTCTGCTGTCCTTGACCTCCCTTTCAGGGCTTAACTCCAAGGAGGCCTTAGCTTTCCTAGTTGCCTCCCTACATCCTCTGACAACAGTCTTATAGTCCTCCCAAGTGGCCACCCCCTCCTTCCATGATCTCTTCTTCCACTTGAGTTTGCCCATTAGTTCCCTCTTTAACCATGTGGGTCTCCTGGCTCCCTTTCTTGATTTCCTACCCACTGGGATGCTCTGATCTTGAGCTTGGAAAAAGTGGTCCTTGAATATAAACAAACTATCTTGGGCCCATCTGTAATTGCCACCAGATCATAGCGCCTTGACCTCACATGGATTTCTACCTACTCCTGTTTATTCCCCATGCTGCATGCATTGGTATACAGGCATTTCAGGGAGGGAGTTGAGCACACCGATTTCACCCTAGGGGGACGCGAGGCCTTCTGGTCCTCATTAATACTAGAACACTGCTCCACTGGTGCAAACCCAGCTACAACCCACCACCCTTCAAACCTAGTTTAAAGCTCTATGTATGAGCTCTGCTAATTGTTGCCCTAGAATCCCTTTCCCTCTACAAGATAAGCCCTTCCCACGTATTACCATCAGGCCTGGTGTCTTATAAAACCAGCCATGATCAAAGAACCCAAAACTCTGTTTGTAGCACTAGTCTCGGAGCCAGGCATTTACAGACTGCATCCTTCTACTCCATCCAATATCATCACCCGCAACTGGAAGGAGGGAAGAGAAAATAACTTGTGCACCAGACTTTCAGCAACTGTCCCAAGGCCTTGAAGTCTCTCTTCATCCCCCTCAGACTACGGCATGCAGCTTCCTCCCCTCATGCCTGGAATGGGTAATAATCTGATGACCACACTAGGTTGGGGAATTTCCTAGTGATATCCCTAATTCGGGCTCCTGGAAGACTACAGACTTCTCTATGATGAGGGTCAACCCAACATATTGGGCCCTCTGTTCCCTTTAGAAGTGAGTCTCCAACAACTATCTCTTCTCTTCTTCCTTGTGGAAAAGGTTGCTGTATGGCTGGAAGGCTTGTCTGACTATGGTAAGACCTCTGGTATAGGTTGCCTATCATCCACATCCTCATAAGACTGGCCGTCTTCCAGCATTCCATTCCAGTCTTCCGTCATTCCAGCATGAAACCATATTACTGGTTTTCCACATATATCTACATCCATAAAAATTGCCTACAAGCAATGAAACTAATGATCAGAAAATTATTTTTCTATAATTACCAAGTATGTTCAGCAAGTTTTCATTTAAGTGCATTTAAAAAAAGAAATAACTTAAAATATTAGGGTTTTTGAACTGAGGTAAAAAAAAAGTAAAGTAAAACTGATAGCGAAAGTTGTCCCTGCTTCCCCCATGCTGTAGTCATTTTTATTTACTTGCTATCTTTACATAATTGCCATCTGCCAAAGTTACCAAAATTCTCAATATTGCTTTCAAAAATGCTAGAAAACATTTTCACAGTGTGGTTGACCATGTTGCTGTGGCACTTGATTGAAGATAGGGAGAAGTATCCTAGCATGGACAGATCAGTTTCTCCGTGTGTACCAACAGCTGGACTGCATGACGGCCAAGTCTATTCTGGATGCTGCATAGCCATGCACCTGAGCAGTGGTGTCCCCACACTAATAGTTCATGTCTTTTTATATGACTTTGTATGACAGTGCCTGAAGAGACTTAGCTTATAGCCGGCCCAGACTACAGGAAAATTCACATACACAAGTTTTAAGACAATTTCCACAGGTGAAATCACTAGCGGGCCTCAAATCCCAGTTCTCCTAACACATAGTCTCAATTTTATGCACTGTCGATAATCTCTTTAAAATCTGAGGGACTACACACATAGCGTAAACTCTACAGTAAATCTGGCCAAAGACATTGCAAAAGCCAGCTACAAGTAAAGAAAAAAGAGTTGCATTAAACCCCCAAAGAACAAACAAATCACAGGCTACTACTCTCCTACCTCTTAGGAATATCTATCCTTGCTTTCTTTATTGATTTTTTCCCCTGGGTAGAACAATACCCAATCTTTAAAAACAAATCAATTACCACAGTATTAATTAGAAATTGATGAAAAAATAAAAACGTGACTACTTTAAATATTTGGGAAAATAATTTTATTTCCTTCTCAAAAGCTCCAAGTTTTCTATGGTGTCCAGTGCTAAACTCAACTAATGCTTGAACTGCACTCACTCCTGTTACAGATATTTCAGATGACAGTATAAGCTCACCCTTTTTTCTTTTATTAGGGAATATTTAAAGCTTTCCTTATTCAAGTCGGGAACAGCAGAAAAGAGAATAAATAGAATAACTGTAAAGCTCTCTATAAGCGATCTTTAAAGTTTTTGTTTCTGTCACACTGTTCCCTGGAGCAAGTGTGCCACATGCCCAGTTTCCTTAGTGGCTGAGGATTGTAAACAAAAAGTTTTACTCATGCAGTACAAAGGAGATGATCTACAACTTTCACACACATGGAAAAGGACTCCACATCCTTTCTGAAGGAATCGAGGGATATTAAATACTGTTGGACTCCAGTCAAGAGCCTGTTAATATTTCTTTTACTCTATTACTTATGTTGAGTCAGGGCAATCCAATCTTCACTAGAAACATCTTACTAAATTCCTTCTTTTATACGCCCATATGTTATAAGGAAGGTACTGTTTATTTGTTTAGGGTAGTAGAAAAATACTTAAGGGAATCCAGTTCACCACAAGAATTCAGTCACAAGGCAACAAACATTTGGTTATAAAACCCATGTTAATGTCTTTTCAGTTTGTGGGATACTTTTCAAAAACCACTAAAGAAATATAAAACAAAACCCTCTTTGAAGTATCTACAAAAGCATGTATGATCACCTTTAGTTTTTCAATTTCTCTGGTAAGTTTGCTAAGACCTGGTACCTACTTTGTGTTTCCACTTTAATTACATCCGTGTTTAGTTTGCATGTTTTTTTAAATAGCTAAAGAGAAGGTAACTTTACTAAAACGCTACTCCATAAGTTGCCTCAAACAAATCAGCTTTCTGAAGAACTGTCCTCATCAACAGGATAACTCCATTTTTTGCCACATGCGTCATCAATGTACACAACATGTGTGAAATGGGCTATAGGCAACTATGTTCTTCAGACATCACTTACACATATCCTCAAAGCTGCTGCAACTACGAAAACAAACAAAAAACCCTGAAGTACCATCACAACGAAATCTTTGTCTCACTGGTAAAAGCAGCATGCTAACTAACAAGCTTCACATTAATGAAGCTGAAAGGCACTGAACAGCTGTAAGAACAACTCATCCCAAAGAACTGCACACATGAACAGCCACTTCTTCAGTGCTTCTCCAAACATATGCAATGCTGTCCCTGACTTACATACTAGTTGATTGCTGGAGGAAGAACAAGTTCTTGGTTTTGTTCAACTGCCATTATCAAAAGGTTTCTTAGAGAAGGTATTCAAGAATCTCCAGCTATTACTGAATATACACTGATCATCAAGATATTTGTTTTCTCACCAAGCAATTCCTGACAAAAATATGATACAGTTAAAGATTAGCCAGAGATGCTAAAAATGAATTAAGTCTGTAAACCTCATCCCAAATTCTATTTTAATGTGCGAAGCTTTTCAAAAGGTTTTGCCATGCATAGTAGAAAGATTTCTACAAATACCTAGTGGAGGTAGTTTTTCCACTCTTCACATATGGCTTAAAAAAACAACAGAAAGGCACAGATTTGATTCAAAGTTCTGCATCACCTTTTGTTCATAACTTGATGGGTAGTTTCAACTTTGTGGAAGAGACTTTAACTTTAGCTAATATTTACGCATATCTAATCTTTAGAAGGATCCAAAATCACTTTGCCTTGAATTTGCAAGTCAGATAGATCTCCCTGATCCAGGCAGATAAACGCCTTCAAGAGAGGATGAACATTAAAAAAAAGGTATCATCATTATGGACTTTTACTGATTCCATTCAGTACGAACAGCACAATTATTTTTTGACAGAACAACCAGTGTGTTCATACTAGTTTCATCTGGCTTGATATAACAACTTCAAACAAGCAGCTATGGAAACTGGGATGATGCTTGTTGATCCTTAGGTCAGCCTTCCAGGATAAGAGAGGCTGTTCCTGCCATAAAATCAAAACCAACACTAATAAACTCTGTTATCTTCTCAGTAATGACTTATCTTTGCTTTTCAAACTATGGAAAACAGATGTATAATTTACATTTTGGTGCAATTTCCTATGAACTAACAAGCCATCAATTTTCAAATACATTTAGAAACCTAAACCCTGAATTCCTACTTTGATAACTTTAAGAGAAGGTTAATACAGTGGAAACAATCCATATCAGTTTGCTTATATGGTTACTTTTAAAATACTTGTGACATCAAAATGGCCTGTTTGCACATACACCTATTGTGGCAAACGAACACAAGCTTGAAGAAAAACTGCTCTTGAAGTTAATTTCAAAACTGAGGTTTATGTAAATGAAGTCTTTTGCATAAATTAGCCTCCCATAATAATTGTCTTTTCCATTTCTGTGTGCTAACAGTTTGTAATAAGCAAAACTGCAGTTAATGCAATTTCATATTTGTAATCTCTCTATATATCTTGTACTTTACAATGCAACTTTTTCCAAATATCAAAATACTATATAAAAGAACACACGAGGGTCTAAGAGGTGCCACTTGTTGGGGTAAGGATATGAATCTTAACTTTGCATTTCTCAGCATTTAGAAATTTAAGTTTAACCATTCCCTACATTCCTGAAATTCTCCACTAACGAATTGGCAAGCACCTTCATTTTGACGTTAAAAATAAAATGTCAGACTGCAGCTCAATTTTCTCCTCCTCTTGCTCGTTTTTTTGCCACAGAAGTCATTACCTGCTGCTGATTTTGCTGGTGATTAGTATATCCAGTCTTGCTGTTATTCCACAGAGGCCAATCTCACCTTCCTTACATGTCCTCTCTGAGCACTTGATAGAGGATGTTCCTCCCTTATGTACCACCAGTTTATTGTCTAACTTTCTCAAGTAATTTTGGGTCACCATTATAACTACTTACAAAACCTCCTATGTCAGACATATATGTAAGGAGGGAAAGCAGTTTCTTAGCTCAACCAACCTTCAACCTTCAAAATATGCCCTTACTCTAAACAAGAGTGCTGCCTTGTTGGATAGCCATGTCATTGTAACTATAACAGAACAGGACCACAGCTTAATTCTACTATGACCACTCATGCAGAGTAGGATCTATTTTAGATAAAGAACTAAAAGGAAAAAAGAGGAGATAAAAGTACTTCCCTACTTTATAAAGATATTTGGAAAATAAACAGAATTTTAAAATAGGTAAGTACCATTACAGTATAGCACTCGTGCAAAAGGCCACAAGACTACCTGTGACTGCTGAACAGGTTACTGGTTAATGCTGAAAATTTTTGTTTCTCAGTGTGTGAATTTAATTATATCCTTTCCAGCACGCTCTCCCTTAAAATGCTCCAGTACATTCTTTATATGGAGCACCGAGTCCTTGGTGATCAGAGTCCCTTCCCCACCAATTTCACGCTCCTCCAAATAATCCTGTGCCCTGGAGAGTTTCAAGAACAGAAGGTGAAATACAAGGAAAACGCAATCCTTTTCTCAAAGAGAAACTCAAGGTACGAGGAAGTAACAGCTGCTCATAAGAGAGAAGCTCCACTTTTATCTCAATACCATATCATCAGATGAAAAACACATCATCAAATGAATTCTAGTGAAAATAATCTGAGAAGTAGTGCATTTACTCCAGCAGCTTTCCTCTTTCCTCTCCCATTTTCTATGTTAAAGTTTATGCAAGGATACACAGCTACGTCCTATAAACAGGCTATAACCCTCTATTGAGCCCCTTACCCTCACCTTTTGACTACATCCATGAAGAGATCACATCTGAGCTCAGCTCACACACACACATATGCCAGAAAGAGGGTGGGAGACTGAGATGCCCTCAACCACGACCCAGAGGGCTGAGCCCACAGGATTTTCTGCTGCAATGAATTTGACAGGAGGGAGAGAAGTAGTGTTAGGAAGAAGTATGTCCTATGTCATTCCACAGAACCTGCTTGAACATCTTTCAAAATCGTTTTTCCTCATCTGCTCCAATACTGGCAGCAAAAGGAAGGCTCCCAGCCTTGGGCTAAACAAAAGAGGAGGTTCAGACTCCTTAGCTCTGCCCTTAAAAATATGAAACCCAGCCAGGCTGTGGGTCAGCGAAGAATCTGGACACAGCAATGGAATAATTCCATGATACAGTAGAGGTCATCATTGCCCATGGCTAAGCAGTACAGATTCAAAAATGATTTTACAATAGCACAAAGTACTCTCAGAAGCAGGAAACATTTTTTGATGGAGGGAAGAGATTTCCAAAGATGCAGACAGAGAGCAGGGAATATACCCAACATGCACCCTCCAAAGATGCCAAGAGAACTCACAATTACATCAGCATCAATGATTTTTTCAAGCTATCTGATTGCTGTGGCAACTACAGCAACAAGTTATTTTATTCCTTATTTCTATTCACTGGCTTGTTCTCTTTATAAAAATTAATAAAAGGGGGCTAGAGCAGTCTAGTTTTGCAAGATATTTCACAAAAAAATACAGCGGTACTCAAGAGTAAAATGGAGCAAGATTGGTAATAAATAAATGCAGTGCTGCACAAAATGCCTCACTTTCATGAATCAGTTTCAGAGGATTGCTTTTGGATTTCACTGTCATTGCTTTTGAACATACACACTGAAATTTAAGCCAACTCAATTTACTGTATTAAAAAGTTATGCTGTTTTGTACAGTCGCAAAAAACCCCAGCATGTAATTTTCTGTTACTATTAATGTTTGGAATCTGAAATTTATGATTGATGCATTTTCCCAGCCATGTATTTTGATTAATTTAAAAACTGAGCCATGGGGCCTCACCTAAGAAAAAAGACCTTAATTAAATAAAATCAAATTACACCTTATATATAATTTTTCTTCTCATAAAAGAAAAACTCCTATTTAAGCAATATAACAAAATCAAGATCTTCGCAGAGAATAAGCAAAACAAATGCCATGATTTACATCTGATCTATGACTACAGGCAAATCCAAAAGATCTACTCTTTTCCCCCCTCTATCACAGAAACATTCTCAGCCTTTATCACATCAAGCTACTCTCATCTTGCTTCTTCGAAGCACAAATTACATAAGAAACAACAAAAGATTGCTGATGTTTTAGTTTTTAATATAAAGTACTATAGGAAAGTTGCTCAGAAGATAATTAAACAGTACGTATATTTATTTTATGGAAACAGTTTGGTAATTTGAAGAACAAAAACGGTCTCATCCTTTTCTGTTCATTGGTAACGTTTCCATGGAGCAAAAATAAATTCCAAATTTCAAGTAAACAGTTTAGATTTTCTTACATGAAACTGGTCATCTAAGATAGCTGAAAATGTAGAGCCACAGAAAAGTTCACCAGAAGCAAGTGTGAGGCTTTCCCCTATTTCTAGTTTGCCAAATTTACTCTTTGTTTAGAAGAAAATTCAAACCAAGAATTTTGAACTCATATTCCTGCACACAAGCCAAGAAACAATAACCATATTTAGATACTTAAGACACATGAGCAGGTCTGCATTGCATATCGCAATTATGTCAGACAAATTGCTGGCCCACATTATTACAAACTGCAATGCATTGTTGCAAAAATTATTTATGCAAAATAGCCTTAGCTAGTCCCAGAAGTAAAAGCAATCCGATCAAGCATCCATGTCCATGAACCAAAGGCAATTTCACACTTTCAATAAACTGCTCTGACAAATTAGGTAATACATTTCTACCATTACATGTGCCAAAGTAATTTTTCAAAAATGAAGTAATTAAACAATGTACTCCTAAATCTGCAAACAGACAAAGCATCGTATTTCAGATGAAACAAGGTACAATGAAACTAGTGGGTTTGGTCAAGTTTATTGTTGCTGCTAAGAACTAGATGTGCAACATGCAAAGTTCGCTCTTACTACCCAGAGAGAACTTAAGGACAACTATGAAAGCAAGAATCAGAATATTTACCTTAATGGCAAAGACTAAAGTAGGAAATAATTAAAGCAGCTGCCAGGCAAAACACTGTGCTGAAAATGTCTCCTATTATAC